AGGATTTTTAATTTTTAAATCTATAAACATGAGAAAATTCACTTCCAATTTAAGTGAAAAACTTCCTTCTCCTACTTCACTCAGTACAAAAAACATGGAGCCTGCACCCTTTGTGAACGCAGCGACTTAAGAGCAAGTTGTCTCCTCGCTGTGAGTACAACGGCGGCAGCAAGTCTGCGCGACCGTCGCGGACCCCCTGCGCGCTGCCAGATGCGGATGCTATAGCCGAAAGAGGCTGCTGCCAGCTCGCGCCGGTGCAGCAAGGTGCTGGGGACGACACCTGCCCTTGGCTCTCCCTCTTCCCTTGCCCCGAAGAATCTCCCGCGCACGCGTAGTCACCCATACGCTTCCCCCCCTGCCAAGGGCGGGACAGGCATCGCCCACCGACGCTTCCAACCCGGCAACGAGCGTCACCTCGGGAACTCTGCAGCGGGGACCATCTGATCCGACACGATCTAGTTCAAGGCAGATGGCTCCTTAAAACACGGCCCACGTAATTCAGAGTGATGTTTGGCTACGGGGGGCTAAGCATGGGTCAGGAGATACTCAGGATGCACCCCCTCATGTCAGGACTCCCTGTGTTCTGGCTGTGCCATCCAGCGTTCCGTCGGGATCAGAACGGCGTGTCCGTGAAATAGCAAAGATGCACGTGTACAAGATGGGTTGAGGCGGAGCCTCAGCTCCTGTCAAGCCTGTAATGAAAATGGGATGGAGACAAACACCCCCTAAATCAGCTTTTCTGCCAACTGCCTTTTGATGGCGATAGCAGCGCCTCGGTGCTTTTAAGGGCACCACGAGCCCTCCACCAAGGAAGAGCAGAAGGATCAAGTCGCACAGAAATGCGCTTTGAAAAAATAACACAGTAAAACTTGCTTGTGTCATGTCGCCTAAAAACCAGTCACTGTGCTTGGAAAAAGAACCTGGAACATCCCTGCTCTTCCAAGCAGCCTGCCTCCGAGTTTTCACACAGCCAGCTGCCACAGCAGTCTCCAGCCCAGGCACGGTCTGGGGTTGTGTTAGCGCAAACCAACCACACAGAGAACCCAAGACACAGTTTTGTAGGAGCAGATGTGATACAGTGGGAGTGGTCGCTCTTGGTTTGGGTCTGAGCTCCTTCTAAACGTCAAGTACTTACAAGGAGAAAGGTGAGAGCAGGGACCAGCTGTTAAACAACAGTAAAGGCTCCACAGGGGTTGTGCTAAGTCAGGCGAGTACTTCCCCCGATCACACTTGCTTTACCAGCACTGCGGTACCCTCCAAACTTCATTGGGTGAACCGTTTTCAGAGAGATCAGACAGGTTGTACTGATACGTGGGTGTTTCACAGAACCACAGAACGGTTTGGGTTGGAAGGGACCTTAAAGACCATCCAGTTCCAACCCCCCTGCCATGGGCAGGGACACCTTCCACTAGACCAGGTTGCTCAAAGCCTCATCCAGCCTGGCCTTAACACTTCCAGGGATGGGGCATCCACAGCTTCTCTGGGCAACCTGTGCCAGTGCCTCACCACCCTCTCCGGGAAGAATTTCTTCCTGATATCTAATCTCAATCTAAATCCTGTCACTACAGGCCCTTGTAAAAAGTCCCCCCCAGCTTCCTTGTAGCCCCTTCAGGTACTGGAAGGTGCTATAAGGTCTCCCTGGAGCCTTCCCTTCTCCAGGCTGAACAAGCCCAGCTCTCTCAGCCTGTCCCCATAGCAGAGGTGCTCCAGCCCTTGGAGCATCTTCATGGCCTCCTCTGGACTCACTCCAACCGGTCTATATCCTTCTGATGTTTGCAGGAACTGACTGAGCAGGTTGGTTGCAGCTTTCTCCTCATGCCCTGGGGTGAGGGGGAGAAGAAGCAGCAGCAAAGCAGGACACGTAAACCACAACCTCTAAACGCTTTAACCTCGCGGAAGAGCCAGCGCTGCAAAGCGTAGCTGGTTTCCAGCAGGGGCGAGGGCTGACCTCAGCCATCTCTCGGCACAGCCGACTGCCAAAACCCTCCCCTAGCAGTGACCACAGCTTTTTCCATTGCAAGCCTGGGAAGGTCAAGAGCAGGGTATGACAGTCTGAAATAAACGGAATACAAACAGAAGGGGCTCGCGGAGGGGTGGTGTTATTCATTTGTAGGTTTTAATGAAAAACTCCATTTATTCTGTCAGAGCTGCCGAGGGCTGACAGACTGCCGCACACCCCAGAACATCCACCCAGGTCGCCACAGAACACAGCGGGTGGCCTCCAGCAGCCCTGCCCGCACGCCGCCGGCGGGTACCGAACACCGCTCACGTCGCGCACGCACCCAACCTCCGTTCAGCAAAGAACTGGCTCTTTCAGGCTTCCGGGGTGTCTCAGTTTAAACTATTTCCTGACAGTAAACTGTTACTTTAAAATAAACAAAAGACAAAATCAGCAAGAAATTACATGGCAACGGCTTCAAGATGTGGTTTTCTTAAAGTAGGGGAAAGGTAATTATTGTATTACATGTCAGTCCACTGCAAACGGTAAAAATACCAAAGGTCCCAAAATCTAGTGTGAATAAGAGGCCTCAATAACCCACTGCCCCCTCCTACCAGGCTACGACACTGCACCGAACAGAGTCACCCCCCGGCTTTTGAAGAACCGGCTGCGCTCACTAAACATGCGGAACTACACCGTCTGGGCAGAGGTTACTGCAGAACCAGGAAACAAGCAGCCCGTCTCGGACCCCGTCACTCGATCGAGGTTCGGTCGCTCGCGCACAGCCTGGGCACACAAAGTCACTAATGCGGCCGGGTCTCACAAGAAACCTCAAAACATGTCAGTAAAAAGTTAAAACGAGATCTTTCACCACAAGGACTATAAAATCCACCCCACCCCCCACCCCTCCTTCCCCTTACTCCTGAATTTCTAAGTTTTGGAGTCTAAAAACCATACATTAAAAGGATTATTTCCGTAGCACAAAGACCACCTTAAATACAGCAAAGCGAGCCCAAGGAGAGTTACCTGGAACCAAAACACGAGATGAAGACCTGCACCACACCCACCAGTGTTTTCGTCACCGCTGCCGCTACCCCCTCGGCCTCCAGATGTGGCAGAGCCCTGGTTGGTTTTGCTTAACTTTTAATTCTGAAGTTACATCAAAAAAACCCGCTCAGTTGAGGCAATTCTTCTGAGCTGCTAGTCTCACGAGGAAAAAGTCCCTTTCAACACGTCAATGACTACGCCGACACGTCACGTTAGTTGAGGCTGTCATGCAAGACAAGTTACATAACCAAGACCGACTCAATCTTTATAATAAAGGCAACTTGCATTCCGAAACGAACTTTACCCTTACCATTTTATTCAAAGGGTGGACATGAATTAACCCAGCTGTTTACCTGAATTACAAAAGTAACATGATTCAATATGAAAATAAGAAACTGTCTACAAATCTCTGACAGTAATAAATTGCAATATACAATGCATACAGGAGTTATACAGAGCAACAAACTCTTGTACAAAACAAAAATACTTTAATACCTTTAAAACCCAAATTTTTTTTGTTGTGTTTTTTTTTAAATTTTTTTTAAATCATCATGAAAAAGATTGGAGTCAGAACTCACACCTCAATTAGTCAAGCTTCAGGTAGCTACATTACAGCTATTTAATATACAAAGAGATAAATCTCTTCACCAGTCACTAAAACTGCCTCTTCGTTAGAGTCGCACAGCTTTTCCGTCTTGTGTTCCCAGATCCGAAGTTTTCTTCAAATCATGAGAACTGGATTTGTTGAACACCGGAGATCTGGAAAAAGAAAACGCAAGCCCACACTCAGACGCACATTTTCGGACACGGCATCGCGGCTAGCAGCCCTGGAGGGTCACCGTGCTGGAATGTAGGGCCTACAAGGAAGCTGGGGGGGACTTTTTACAAGGGCCTGTAGTGACAGGGCAAGGGGTAATGGGTTTAAATTGAAGGTGGGGAGGTTTAGATGAGATATCAGGAAGAAGTTCTTCCCAGAGAGGGTGGTGAGGCACTGGAACAGGTTGCCCAGAGAAGCTGTGGATGCCCCATCCCTGGAAGTGTCCAAGGCCAGGCTGGATGAGGCTTTGAGCAACCTGGTCTAGTGGAAGGTGTCCCTGCCCATGGCAGGGGGGTTGGAACTGGGTGGTCTTTAAGGTCCCTTCTGACCCAAACCATTCTGCAATTCTACGTCACTCCAGCCACCCCCAAAGCACTAAATGAAACTCCTTCTCATCCTTCAGAGTGCGGCAGCCGAGGCAGCGTTTGGATTTTCGCGGCAGGAGGGAGAGGAGCAGGGGACGGGCTGGAATACCTGTTGGTACGATGTCGTGTAGACCATGACATTCTGCTGTTGGCCGTCTGTAGTTATTAAGCCCGCTGGCAACTGGTTGGCTGGAAGAGAGAGCGTTTTAAGGAAGTTACACGAGGACTGCAGGGCACACAGGGCCGCGACTGACGTGTCTGTCACCGTTAAATAACCTTTCACTGGGGTCTGCTCCTGGACTACGGAGCCATCCTCTCCTGAGCTACCACCCCACACTGCGTACAGACACACTTGTAACTGAGCATTACAAGTAAACGAGTTTATTCCCATTAGGAAACAAAATTCAACTTAATTTTGCATCAGATAATCTAAAAGTAAGACTGCACCTTGTTCTTCCCCTATACGTATCTGAAGCAGAACATACACGGCTGCTTACTGGTGAATGGAGTGGAGTTTGCCATCCTGACCGCTGGAAAAGCAATCATCTCCAGCATTCACTATCCCAGGAAACCTGGAGAATTCAGAGTTGGCTTTGTTCAGACACAAGGTGAGCACTCAAGCAGCCACATGCAAGAGGAAGCCCATGAAAAGTTTATAGAACAGGATCCATCAGGGGCTCCATACTGCGGAAGCCCCAGGGAAGATGAACAGGGACAGGCAGTGACAGAAACAAAAGGCGCTGCCGGAGCCTGATGTCCCGCTGGATGACTTCCGCGTGCCTGTCAGGGTACGCAGAGGAGCTCTGAACTTCAGCGAGCAGAGGGAGGCCAATGAGTGGAGCGAAAAGTACTTTGGAGGCTTAGGGGCAGAGAGAGGGAGTGATGCTGGAAGGCAGACCTTCACGGGAAGGCGCAGGCTGAGCTCTGCGACACCCAGAGTAAGTAGGTTACCGCTGTGACCTGGAAGCAAAGCGGCAGAACCCCTCAAGCTGTCAGCACAGCTGTAACATTCTCTGCTAGGAGACAAACAATGGGGCTTTTTTCTTTCCCAAGGACATCTGTTACTCTGTATAAATGCAAGAATAACCCATAAAACATTCCCAGACTCCACAAACCATTAGCAACACACCCCAGGTAAGCAAGCTGGGCCTGTAATTGCACTAGTGCCTTACCACTTCAGAGCCTACACAGCTATTGCTGTGAGTGAGTAGGGGTGAGGGTTTACTATTTGCATTGTCTAATTGTAAAATTAAAAGTGAATTAAAAAAAAAGCTTTCTGTAAGTCCCCTGCAATATTCAAGGTTGAGATTCTTAATCTCCAGGCGAGAAGAGACCTGACGAGTCTGTACTATTTTACACAGCTAAAGGCATCGTACTGGTAGCAAACTGTGTTTCAGACCTTGAACAGGTCATTTCAGTCCTCAGGCTGTGATTTTTTTGCTAGTTCAGTAGTTTGTCAGCGACTTTAAACTGAAGATTTATCAGACATTTGAAAAACTAAATCTCATCAGGGAGGTTTAGGTTAGATATCAGGAAGAAATTCTTCCCAGAGAGGGTGGTGAGGCACTGGAACAGGTTGCCCAGAGAAGCTGTGGATGCCCCATCCCTGGAAGTGTTCAAGGCCAGGCTGGATGTGGCTCTGAGCAACCTGGTCTAGTGGAAGGTGTCCCTGCCCATGGCAGGGGGGTTGGAACTGGACGGTCTTTAAGGTCCCTTCCAACACAAACCATTCTGGGATTCTATGATTCTATGATACAACTGGGGCTGCGCCTCCTAATTATTCTTGTATCACCTTCAAGATTACCAGCCCATAACATAAAATAAAGGCAACAGTAAGGCCAGGGTGAAGACTACGTGCAAGAGTCCAGCGACAAAAAAGCCAACTCAAAGTCCCAACAAGTGTCAAGCTTTAATTCCCAGTGTAAGGAAGAAAAACTCCAGTGAATGCATATGATACTCCCTGCCCTACCCCTTCTACTTGCCAACCTGTGCATTCTGTGGAATGTAAGAAATACCAAGTGTTTTAGAATTATACGAAGATGATGTTCTCTGGCTCATTTCTCAAAGACAAGCTCCTCAAGTCATCACGTGGAGTTTATTTTACTTTTTCCCCAGCTGTCTTGCAAGTAGAACAAATGTGGCCTAAGCATGTAGCTACTGGGGGAAAGGGAAGGAAGATGAAGTCTGCACCTTTCACTGTAATCTGTGTTTAAGGGTAGAGAAAAGACACTGGCACTAATGTCTGCGTTTAAAGAACCTGCACGGTTGACATTCGCTATTACTGGGGCGTTACCATTCGCCACTGTATTACTTCCCTCTGACCATAAGTGAGTGGGAGTTTATCTGAGCACAGGTTATCCTCCAGCCAGCTCAACGGATCACAGGTGTGGCACGTGGCCAGCCCAGGACGTATTCCTCAAGTAAGAATTCTCATATTTAAAGAAAGTGCTATTTTTAGAAAAGCCACGGTAATAGTATAATAAATTTAGAAGTATTACTTACTAAACGCTTCCTCTGTGAGCTCCTCACTTAGACCATCTCCAGTTGTCACTGTTCCCCCAATTCCCTTTTCCCCTTTCATTGCCTGGAGAGAGGAGACATAAAAAAAAAGAAAGAATTTGTGTTAGAGTGGAGTTGGCTTAAGGTTGTTTCAAGACCCCAGGAGCTCTAGCCAAGGACTGGAACTTGCAGAAGAGTCACTGTGCGGCAGCTGGTTTGAAATCCAAGACCTGTAAAACTCTACTGGATCCACGAACGTGCAGAGTACACGAATACACGAAGGGTGTTTTTCACCTTAGCTGTACTCCTCAAACAAAAGCCCTGCAAACTGGGATTGTGTAGTTCTAAGGAAGGATTTCACCTTCTGCAGGAGGTCGGAGATCCGCAGTCATCCGGAAGCAGCACTGAAGAGCATTTACAAGAAATCACAGAATCTCAGAACTACTGAGGACGTGCAACATTTCCTTCCCGGCCCCAGGCAAGTCCCACCAGCACACAACCAAGAGCTGACATTTAAAACCAAGATACCAGATTTCTTTTCCCACATCAAGGACTACAGCCAGAGAGGATATCAGCACAGGAAACCAAGGCTCGAGCCGTCTGCGCGCAGTTTCACAAGCACGACGTTTGATACGCTACGCCATTACGTAAGGACGTCAAAGGCAATAGTACAGGTATCAAAAGTATTTTCTGCAACTGTTTGATGCAGACTAAATACTCAGATACAAGCCAGAACTCTGCATGCTCCTCTGCGTACGGTACCCTGAAGAGAGAACTAGCTGGAATGGATGTTCAAAAACTGCTAAGTAAAACCATTCGTCCATCCATCTGATTAAAACCCAATCCCACTACCAAAAACGGTCACTTCAGAATGAAAGTGGCACAGACCCACTTCAGACTTCTCGAGAAGTACTGAAACTAGTCAGGCCCGACTTGCATTTTTAACTGAAGCACATACAGCACTTTGACGGCACGTGCAACTGCTACACCGAACTAGAAAACGGCCGCAGACGGCAGTACTTCAGCGTGTAGATTACACCCCCTGTTACTCAGTTATCACAGCAAACGACCTCTTGGGAAGGGGAAGCTTCAAGTGCTACCAGCAAATGAAGTATCACTGGCGAGTCTGACCCCATTAATTAAAAATCTTGGGTTTCATCTGCCTTAGCACATGGAAAATAAGGTGGTGATTGGTGATAGCCAGCATGACTTCACTAAGCCAAATCTGGGGCTCCCAACATCAGAAGGATATCGACCGGTTGGAGCGAGTCCAGAGGAGGCCACGAAGATGCTCAGAGGGCTGGAGCCCCTCTGCTATGGGGACAGGCTAAGAGAGTTGGGCTTGTTCAGCCTGGAGAAGAGAAGGCTCTGGGGAGACCTTATAGCACCTTCCAGTGCCTGAAGGGGCTACAAGGAAGTTGGGGGGGACTTTTTACAAGGGTCTGTAGTGACAGGACAAGGGGTAACGGGTTTAAATTGAAAGTGGGGAGGTTTAGATTGGATATCAGGAAGAAATTCTTCCCAGAGAAGGTGGTGAGGCACTGGAACAGGTTGCCTAGAGAAGCTGCGGATGCCCCATCCCTGGAAGTGTCCAAGGCCAGGCTGGATGAGGCTTTGAGCAACCTGGTCTAGTGGAAGGTGTCCCTGCCCATGGCAGGGGGGGTGGAACTAGATGGTCTGTAAGGTCCCTTCCAACCCTAACCATTCTGTGATTATTTTAACCCTGAACAGCTTCTTCATTCAGGAAGAAAGATCACTGTATGTATGAGGAAAAGAGGTCACTGTATTAAAACTACCTTTGATTTGTTTGGTTAAATCTGGTATTCTGAGGTGAAAGAACACCAAAGTAAAGATGCAAGCATAATTGTCTTTCTCCAGACAGGAGGTGAGGAACCAGAACAAAAAACCCAAGCAGAAGCAACTTCTTTTTCCAAAATTAATTTTTTTCCTTTCAGAAATTTAAGAAGCTACTTTCTGCTAGAGAAGGGATAAATTAAACTGCTTGGATCACATACCTAGCATGTACTATGTATCAAAAGCAAACAGAGACAGGCCAAAAAATGTTAAGGAAAAGCCCTGATGAAGCAGACAGCCCTCCACGTGAATCAGTATTCTGACAGGAGATAGACAACTTTCTTTTGCAGATCCAAAGCCCATACAACAGACATTAGGCTAGCTCCTCAGAGGATGCAGTCTAGTACAGTTTTATTGACTGAACCCAAAGATCAAATTAAGTATTCCTAACAGGCACCTTTAAAGAACAGTGATTTACTACCAGCAATGTATTCATTTATTCATTTGAAAGCTTTAACTACTTTGAGTCTGCAAGTCTAATCGCAATGCTTACTTACTCTGTTTCCATCCTCTGGAATGCTTTTAAACACTGCATCAGTCCCTGACAATAGCCGTGAGGTACTGTGCAAGTTATCCATTCTACAGTTAGAACGACAGTGGGCTAAGGATAAACACAACCAGGTCAAATAAATGAGGGAATACTGATGTATATACCAACCTCTCTGAATTTTTGGAGGTATAACTTCAGCGGTTCAACATAGCTATCAAATCCTAAGGTAGACATGGCAAAGAGAATATCCTCTCCATTGATGGTCTTTCTTTTCTCTTGATGACACCTCTCACTTGCTTCTGACGTTATAAAGCTGATGAATTCACTTACACACTCTTGCACGCATTCCTTTGCATCCTTAGCAATCTAGTAAGGAAAAGTACCATAAAATGATTAATCAAGATGCCAGAAGGTTAAAAAACAAAGGACAAAAAAACCCCCCGTAAGAATACACTCCATAATAAAGGAAACATCTCAAAAGCTGATGATAACACCATTTAGGCAACACCTGTATGCAAGGAAACCACTGGATGTCATCACTGCTCTATGTGAGCACAGCCACAACACGTTTTTAACCTAAGTTTTACTATTTCAAGCAGCACAGCCAATGCCAGGATCTCCTGAAGTCGTAGCTAAGTTCTGTACAAGTTTTTACATATCGATGCATCTCAGTATTGCTCACTTTGCTTCCCTGCCCCTTCCCTGTAAACCTGCTCACTACAGTGTCATAGCCCACTTCCATCTTCCTTTTAATAGGCCCAGCGGTTCCAACCCCACTGCAGTCCAATCCCACAAATTCAGCAGTGATGAGTATTTTCATCCTGACCAGATTCAGGGACTAGAATATATGCCTAGCAGCAAGCCTCTCTAATGCTTTAATATTCTGGTATAAATTTTCCAAATGAGAATTCAAATGAAGAAACATATGCCCCTGGCAAGAATGAAATAAGAAAATTTGATTATGGTTTTCAGCTGGACAAAAGTAATTTACCTGACTTAAAGTAACAGCAAGCATTACTCGTGATTATTTGGGAAGCTGACAGGAGCCAAGTAAAAGATTATAATAATTAAGTTGCTTATTCTTCACATGAGAAGAACGTGTTTGTATTTAAAGAAAAAGTAACAAAGCAGTAACTGCATATAGAATCTTCATTAGTTCCTCTGATATTTTCAGACACACAGGGCGAGATTCTCAGAAGTACTCATCAGCCAGCAGCTTCCCTTGCAGCTTTTCACAAAAACCTCCCTGCTTTTTCAGGATAGCTTGACATCCCATATGCTAAATTCTTGAGAAAAATCTCATCTTGATCACTAAAAATTTATGACAATATGGACAAGTGAAAGATTTTTGCAGAAAAGATATAAATGTAACACCCAGATCTCCAGAAAGCCCTGAACATTATGAAAGTACAAGCAGATGCAAGTAAATTATGTCTTGCTTCTATTTAGAGTGATCTCAAAAAAAGGGG